CCTGTCAAATTTTAAATGAAATAATATAATATGATGCAAAAATAATTCGAGTTAATTGTATTATACATTCATAAAGAAAACGAAAAGAGAAACACTCTTATAACTAATTTTGTAATTTTTAATTTGATTCATCAAATAAGTCGTGTAAAACGATAGTTAAACATTTTATAAAGTAAGATATTTCAAGAACAACAATTTATTACATAAGAGTGACTGTCTAATTAAACTTTCTAATTGCAAATTAAAACAACTAGTGAAATCTATTAAACTAATCGCAGCGGTATCAGTCGGTGTAAATTAACTATATAGCAGAATTTTCAATTAACATCATATTTTACTTGATTTACATTGTATCGCTATTCTACATTATATGAAATGTGTGAATTGATTTTGACTGTACTTCTCTTTTCTGTTGCATCATTTCATTTACGAATTTGTGACAAAAATAAATTGTACACGATTTGAAAGAGAAATAGGAACTGACATTTGTTAAATTTCTACATTTTTGATTGAATAATTATTTTAGCAAATAAATATACATTTGCATACAATGTTTCAACATTATTTTCAATAATAATTTGTCCAATAAATGGATTTTTACTTGGATTTAAAGCTGATAAAAGTAAAAAATTTAATAATAAATAAAGAAAAATACTTTTATAATATTTTAGGTAAAAAACAAAAATTATTAAATATTTCACTTGTTCAAACAATTTCATGGTTATTAAATGTTACTCTATGTATCATTCCAATGTTTTTATCACCAAATATAATTATTCCTTTATTAATAATAAATTGTTTATCACGAGCAACAATCGTTGCTGGATGTCAAGCTGTTATATCAACATTGTAAGTTACAATACAAAAATCTTTCAAAAAGAAAATAATATTTTTATTTTTAAGTTTTCCATCTGCATATATTGGTCGATTAACTGGAATAATGTGGACAATTGTTGGAGCCATTACTTTTATTCAATTTGCACTTGTTAAATTAACTAATCCAATTACAATAGCGTGGAGAGTAAGATTTCTTTTTGAATTAAATTATTAATTCATATGAATTTATTTATTTAGGCATGGCTAATTGTATTAGCATTAGTTGTATTAATGTCATCTCATTTAATTCAAATATGGATTAAATATTTTAAAGAAAGACAAAAAGAATTAAATAATTTTTTTGTAACAAATACAAGATTTTGAAGTTTTTCTTTCAATGACTTAAATAAATCACACAAGAGTTCATTTATTCATTTTAATTAATAAAATAAAAAACAAAATTTTATTTTAAAAGACATACCAGGCCTCGAAATCGGGCCACTTTTTTAGAAAAAGTTACATAAAAAAAGGATAAAATCTTCGGGCCGGACGGCCCGTTTCAAGGGCTGGGGTATACTTGTCGCTAAAGTTATCTTCTCGTCTCTATTAGTTTTGGATACAAATAACTTGGACATAGTAAAACGATCATGAGGAACATCCTTTTTGTTATCCAACCCGATAGATATGGACAAGATGGTCCTCATCTTGATGGGACTGAGACCAACACTTTTTCATTGGGAATGATATTTTTTTTATGGTTGTGTAAAACTTACGTCAAATGTCATATTCTCACGATTCATGTGTTCTAAAAATTTATGCAAAAATTATTGAGTAATGATTAGTGTTCTGCACGCGTACGACTCTTTGCACCCGGGCTCAGCTCGGATCCGGATAGCTGTACCCAGTACCCGATTCGGTGCTAATCAGCATTCGCCAAATAATTACTTTCACAGTCCTAGTACAACTTTCAAACTTTTACTTCGTATGAAAAAAAATACTTTAGTTTCTTGCGTCAACAGAAATAGGAGTGTTACTTAATATTTATTTTTATAAAATAAAGATAAAATAAAGAATAAAGAAAGCTTTTTTTTCTGTAA